TTGTTACTAGTAGCGTGGCACTTGTTTCTACTAGCTTCTTGTTACTAGTAGTAAGGCACTTGTTACTAGTAGCGATGCACTTGCTTCTACTAGCTCACGGGAATCAAGCACAAAGCTGATCAAGATTAAGAACAAAGGCGTCAAAGCTTCCCTGAAAGTGTTTCGTCTTCGCTGAAGCTACAAGCAACCAATCGTTCCTGCATTTTCCACAGTGTGTCATAAATGTATTGAATCAATTTCTCACGCAACAAACAGAGATATACGTATAAAAATATATGACACATGTATGCATTCACGATATTTGCAACACGCATCAATAAAAAAGTGAAAAAAGAAAAACTAAACAATCTCCTCGCCGCACACGGCGAAGCCAGCGGACTGGAGGACCTCGTCGGCCTGAAAGATTTCACGTAAAGCGTGGAAGACGTTTATGAAAGACTTTCTTTTTCAATAATGGCGATGGACCTAATAGCGATGGCCTCCATACTAGAAGCGATGGCCTCCAACCTAATAGCGATGGCCTCCAACCTAATACAGTATTTAGAAAAGGAAATCGAGAAATGAAATACAACTTCCATATACTACAAGCAATATCTCAGCAACAGAAAGAGACAATATCGTATCTGCACGTGCAACAATGTCAATGTTTGCTGCAACCAGCCTCTCCTGCCGCTGTCATAGGGAGTCAACCTTAGTTTTTGGAGATGCACCATGTTCGCATGCTTGTCAAACTGCAAAGAAGCACATCACTTTAAGGAACAAACACGTATCTCTCAGACCCCCAGCATTTACCTCGACTGGCTGGAAGCTATTGAACTGGGTGCTGCAACGTGAGTTGCCATCGTGCCACTTGCATTTCAAAAATGCATCGTGTCTTTGTCTGCGGCGCGTTCGTAACGCAACATCGGTTCGAGAAACCTGGCAAAAATGCAAGGATTCCAAGCAATCATTGCTTGAATGTGATGAATTTAGAAAAAGGTTTGATTGACAGCCTTTGTATAGCGATTGGGAACGCTGCAAAGAGCACCAAACCTTAAATGCATGTCAAACATGTCGAAACAGTTTCGTAATTTTGCCGTTTCTTCACACTTTTGCAATCAGAGCTGCTGGCAAACAACCTGAAAGGGCACGACTCAGCATGACATGTTTGTAAATGTCAAGGTCAGCGGCAAAAATGGCACTTAGCCCTCAACCCACCGGAATGCTCCACTGAGCAATTTGCTATCCAAAGGCGATTGCTCACCTCTGTACTGTGAACCAAAATGTTTGCGGACATGCAAGTTTTCATGCTGAAAAAGGTCTAGAATTGTCATCATTCAGGAGACTTGGTTGAAAAACAACAATGAACAGGCGGCGTTTCCAACAAACAAATTGAATAATCCTCAAACGCGTTGCATGTTGACCATGTCCGTGAAAAGTGAATCAGCAGCAATCGATAACTTTTGGTGTCAATGCGAAAGTTGTTTCAAGGTATTTTCAACTATATCTAGCCGTAATGCAAGCCTTCAACACCATCACGTACGTCATGTTCTTCATCCTTGCGTGCAAGTGAGGAGGACGCGTTGTTTTTTTGCCTGCATCAAGTCGAAGAAGCTCGATCACCCCAATGATAGCTGACACATGTTGAATTAAGACAGGCATGCGTCCGTGCCTTAGTTTTGAAGGTCCCGACCCACCACACTTCATTCACATTCGTTAGTGACGAAGTTTCATTCGCCATAACCCAGTGTACTGTCTGCTGAAGGGTGTCTTCGTGCACTCAGAAATGAAAACCCAAGTCCCGTCGGAACAATCAGGCCCAACGCATCAAACACGGAAAACTGCCCGTCACCCACACCGCCCGGCTTTCCAAGGACGCTGATGCAGCGACCTGCCTTCGCGGCAGTTGTCTCTTCTCGGCGTCCAGGGCTTGAGCCTCCCCATAGGGTTCTCGCTCGTACCTGGCCACGCCGCCGGGCATTGTGTGGAGGTCTCCCTCTCCTCACCCCTGCATACACCGTGCCGGTACCATCTCCCAACCACTTCACAGTGCTTTCGCAAAGGTCTTTGAATCGCCTTGACCATCTTTCGGGACTTTGGATGATCGGTCTGCATTTCCAATTTTTTTGCACGGGTGGAGACGCCATGTGTGCAGAGGTTGCACAGGTCATCTTGTGCTAGTGAATAGAGAGTTACGAGCCAGGTTGCGAAAGCAAAGGAGCCACCAACAAAACCCAAAACCAACAACCAAAAACCACCAACAAACCCACCCACACAGACACCAGCAACCTGGCATGTAGCTCAAGAGGGGCTACGAATTAGACACCGGCCTCTCAGTACTGCTGGACCGCGAGGTTTTGTCTCTCTTCATTTGTTTGATAGCGCACCTTTTGAGCCCACGCGCTCCAGCGGAGTAGTTTTCAACTAGTGAACAGTGCACCTCATGACTGTACATCAGGTTACTTAGTAGGCGCTAACTATTTGACACGCCGCCTAAAAGTTCGACGTTTTAGTCGCACTTTTCCTTGCCAGGTTCCACTTCTGCTAAGTGGTCAAAGGGATAGGCCACCTGACATGCTAAACTTTGTTCACGTACAAGTAGTGTACGGACCGTTCCGGCATTGTTTCAATGCTATTTTAACAAAAGACCATTGCTAATTCAACTGCACCAAACTGTCGTCTATATCAGTTCAATGCATCGTAGTGTTGTCGTTTGAAGATGCGTGGTTCAGTTGGTGCACGCACCTCCATTCGCCGTCATGCAAAATTCACTCAACATTCGTTCTTGGTTCATCTTCTGGTTCTCCACCATCATCATGTCTTGCATCTGTTATTGTTCTCCCTGCTGCTGCTGATGCTGTTGCACCATTGTTTGTCGCTTCATCTTCCCCATGTTCGCTTTCACTACTCCAATGGTGGAGTGACATCCACATTTCATGGTCCGATACTTCATCAAGTCCAGAATTCAAATATCGAGCCACTTTGGTGATTCGAAGCTCTCCTGATCTCCTTCGGAAGCCTCTTCATTCTCTTCATTGGAACCATCTCTCGCACTCCTCGCAGTTCCATAGTTCCTCCATGGAGTATTGCCAGGATCAAAGTACCCTCCGTCTTCACCACCAACCATGTCACCTGCTGCTATTGCCGTATCAACAGGTAAGGCCTCTTCTCAGTCTCCCAGAAAATCCGGTGAATCATCTCGAGGAGAAAGGTCCGTCATGTTGAAGCAAAACTCGTGCGCCCTTTGTCGTACTGTTGTACTGTAGTCCAACTGTAAGGCAGCAAGTGTTGCCCCCAAAATTCAACGCCTCTGCTCATACCTGCGCCGCCTCTCTTCTGACATCTGTTCCCTCTCCAAACTGCCTGTTACTCTTCCAGCCATCCAGTACAGGAACCACTCAGGGCTCCAAGGCGCCCACCTTGGTTGCAAAGTGGGTGGAGGAGGAGGGAACTTTGGACCTCTCGGAAGGTCAGAAGGAATCACCGGCATTGGATCTTGAGACGAGCTAGCACCTGTAGCTGACACTGGTCTCAAGACAGGAAGGCGATGGTTAATCATGCAAGCCCTATGAACCAGGTGAAACACAAGGGTGCCAGTTTTCTGTAGACTGCGAAGAAATTCCATGTCAGGATGTCCATCGAGAAACAAAATGTTGCAGTATGAGGACGTGGCAGAGCTGGAAGATGACATTCTCTGCTTTCTGCCAACAATCTCTGATTTGGATGTCTTTGGCTGTGAGTTGGATTTGCTCAACCTTCACACGCAGCAACCCTT